CTAATCAATTAATTAAATTATTTGCTTTTAATTATTGTACAAAATTAACTATTTTGTTATAAGTTATTTTATTTATGTAATTTAATGTATAAAATCTAACAAATATCAATAAAATAAATGCCACAAAAAAAAGCGTAATAAAATAGGTAAATCTAATTGATTAAAATTTTATGTGCATAAATTATTTGCAAACGCGCCTTGAATGAAAAATGTGCATGTTAGACACACTTACTTGATCTTATCATTTGCACACAATTACTAACCAGTAAATCACGTCTATTTTTATGTTTATAATACTTATAATATCTATAAAACCTTTAACAATGTTAACAAAATTTTGAAACGTAGAACTGTTGCATTCATACAAAAAAACAAATAGTAATTTTAATTATCAACAACGGTTGTAGATTTTTTTTCATAATACCATTTTTAATGTTGTCTATTATTGTATATTTGTATTGTTTTTACGCTTCTTCATGTCTTACATTATTAAATTCTTCAAATCATCAAAATCTTACATTATCCTCCATTATCAGTCCAGTTTCACTATAGTCCAGTTTATCAAAAATAGAATAGAATTGTATAGATTTTGAATTCAGTTCACTTTCAGTTTCTCCGCAATTATTACGTGCAAATTCGCCATTCGATACAATTAATTTTACTCCTATCGTTCATGCGAGAAAACATGATAAAACACAATGTATGATTAATGAAACTGTTAACTGCATATGCATTAATTCTGTCCGCCGAAATCAATAAATTATACAATTTGCATTATGACTTACACATAAATTGGAATAAAACAAGAATTATAGTATAATTAAACCAAGAAACATTACATATTCAATTTTCTACTACAATACTATTTAAAAAATGTTGTTGTTCATGTCTTGTTTCTGATAACACATTTATATAAAATTAGATGAATGCAAAGTTTATTTTATAATAATCTATTAACTATTTCACTAATTTAGTGAATCATTTATCAATACATACAGTTTAGTAGAATTATTGCAAATTATAGATATTAAACATAAACAAAAGAAGAACGCTTCTTCAGTGAACCAAATTTGGCTCCAGATCCATAGGTGGAAGAACAATGATCAAAAGTATATTTATTAAAATGGAAATACGAAATATAAATTGTATAAAAGTAAAGAAATTAAATTAATCTGAGATTAACTAAATTATTTTAATAATTTTTATTTAATTGAAACTTTTTTGAAATAATATTTTCATAAGTGAGAGAAAAGTGTAATAAATCATGATAATTGTTTGATCGATTCTAAACCAACATTTTTTATGTTTGTTTACTCTGTAAACTGAGTAAATCCAATTCAATTTTATATAAAAATAAAGATTTGTAATTGTCTGAATAGTTGTTGGTTTTACTTCACCTGTTTCACAATCATCGATACGAAGGTTCCTGATTCGTAAACAAAAATCAAATCAAGGCGAGTCACGACAGGACGAAATCCATCGAATCGTGCAAATTCACGCTACAATTGGGATGCAAAAGTATAAACGTAAGATCTAAAACACAAACACAATAATAGTAATCATTGAGAACAAAAAATGCTACTGTTCAGCATCAAAATCAGAAAACAGGAAACGAAGGAGTTCGAAATAACAACCAACAGTTTATTATTATGTAACGTTCTTTATTTATTAAATATATTGTTGTTGCAGTTTTTTTCCTGCGAATAAGAGTAGCAACGAAAGTGAAATTGATTTACATAAATTATGGAAAGAAAATAAAGGCCGTAAAGTAGGCTTAGTCAGGTATGCGTGGTCTGCGCGCCACGTACTTACAGACACACACATATTTTGAGACAGTTTACTTGTATCCCATTTGAAAGTTGTTTCAAACGGAGAGGGGACAAAAAAAAATTATAAGGCATTCGCAAATGCGTTTACGCATGTGTAGCCGCCGTACGAGTGTTATATTATTTAATCGTACAGCAATAAAAAGTAAATAATAAAACAAAAAAAACAAACAATTATAAAGTAATAGTTAATATGATGGTTATATGTATATATAAAATATTATATGCGAGTATATAAATACTAAACGAGAGTCTAAATAAAATGCGATGATTCTCAACATCCAGTCGTCTTTACTAATCTGACTTGTAATGCACTAATCTATGTAGTGTATTTAGTAGATTTTATTTTAATTGATTTATTTTTTCCAATTAATTTAAATTATGCAAAACTAATTAAAAAAATATTACATTTTCTCGAATGTTTTTGTTTTAAATGTAAATGTAAGAAAAATGATTTAATTTCAAATTTCAATCTCAATTCATTAATAAATAAGTTTTAATTAAATTGATGTCAATTATTATCTTTGCATTTGAAATTATTTCTGTGTTTTTAAGAGAAATTTGTCTAATTTAGTTTAATGACAAATTAGTAAATTATCGTTGCTAAATTGAGTAACACTGATTTAGTTTTGTTAATTACATAATGGAGAAAAAGTTTAAACATCCATCAATTATTCTTGTTTTTAAAATGCAATTAGTTTAATTTTAATAAATGATAAATTTGTAAATTACTTTCATTAAAGTTTACAAAAAGTATTCAGTTTTCGTTAAAATATAGAGAAAATGTAATTGAATTGTTAATAAACATTTTTTTTTCTGATTTTTGAAAGAAAATTATTAATTTTTTGTAAATAAAATAAGTAGAAAATGTAAATGATTTGGTTAATAAACAATAAAATTAGTATAATTATAATGATGTGATAAATGAAATTTGCAAGAATGTTTCGGTAAATACAAGACAGAGAAAATGTAAATTGTATGGTTTTTGAAGGACGAATTAGAGATTGAGAATCAGCGAATGAAGATGGCGAAAGGACGTTTGGAATTTCGACTCTGATATTTTTTTTTTGAAAACGACTAGCTGTGATCGTTGCGTTTGTGACGATCGAATTAGGAACAATTTAGCTGCGTTTCGGCGATAAAATTCATAACGAAATGTTGAGGAATTGATGGAACCTGTTTTTACTTGACGTAGTAGTTGAATTGCTGGATGTCTCCTTCTAGTTGATTCGTCTGTTGAGGAATATCCGCTTTCAGCGTGGCTTCGTTGCTCAATGTGAACGGTGAAGATCTCCTCGTCGTTAGGTAGTACTTCCCTCGAGCCCTACGCAATCATCAATCAATAAATTAAGGACAAGTTGGTAATGGTGAGATGTGATTTACTTGGGTGATAGTGTAAAGCCCATGTTAACTGGTTCCTGGTTGGGATCGCATTCGCCTCTCAAGAATTCCTTCCAGCTGTTGCAGCGATAAGATTGGAACGCGTTGGCGGTAATCACGGACTCCGAGTAGAACATGTACGACCTCCAGTGGCTGCAAAACACTGAAACCCTCATTGTTTTTATTTTTATAGGGAAAACGAAATTTGGATATTACGGGGTTCTATAATGGAATCCGGGCTTCTCCTTTTGACTTCCGGTATTGTGCATCCGGGTTGAGGCGCTTTTCCACTATTCGGCCAGAAATCCGCATGACCTACTGGCCAAGGATAACCAAAGATTCCTGCATCTGTGTGGATAACGTCCACGAATTCTGCATCTCCCTTATCCAGTTTCAAACTCCTCGGCCATTTGGTGAAGAGCGGTCCAGCGGGATCCAAACCTGTGATGCGTTGGATGCGACCGCTCTTCACGTTCTGTCCGCACACCCCAGCCATTTGCGCACCCAAAGACAAACCGATTAGGTGGAGTGATGGTAAATAAAGACCTCGAGAGACTAGGTAATCGATGAAAGCTGCGGTATACTCTCCGACAACTCTCGTGTTCCTAGCCGCGGTGAGGTACCAAGGCCCAGCTTCCATCCTTTGAGCGTCCAGAAGAATGACATTGTGATCCTTTCTTTGTAAATAAGCTGTAAAACTAAATAAGTAGCGACGTGGTCAATTATTAATGGAGACTCACCTGTTTTGATGGTATTGGCTGGAGCGCTGGTGTACGTTTCGAAGAAAGCATGGAAAAAGATGACGGTTGGTTTTTGGAAGTCAAAGTGTGAATTCTTCAAGGAGATATCGTCGCCATGGATAAGCAGATCCGGCTGTAGAGGATTCTCGCTACATAGAAATTAAGTGTTATTTAGTGAAATAATTGTATAGTCGTCTTATTTTATCAACAATGTATATCCATAGATACATTTTTTAACTTCAACTTTATCAAATTAAAGATGCTTATAAAGCTTTAATTAATTGTAATTTTTCTAAATTACATACATATTTAAAGTCTTAAAATAAATTGAAAAACTAAATTGTTATTTTCTTGTGATTCGTATACCAAGCTTGGAGTAAACCAAATTTTGGTGTAAAGAGCTTTTTTTAAGATATTTATTGCCTGTTAAAAATAAGTGTAGGAAGCCGCACAATGAAATATGGACGCTGAGAGTAGCAATTTCTCATCAAAAGAGCCGGATCCGGAGCCGAGGGTTGCCGACCCCTGATTTCAACCATATTGCATGTTTCTAAATAAGAAAAGTTATGTGAAAGTAGATTTCTATTGAATACTGAAAATATTGCAGCTGCAAACGTATATTTTGAAATTTAGAACAATATGAATGTTCTAAGGGTATGAAAGGCCTTAAGAAGCAGTGAATGAAGCATGTAAATGTACGCAAATCGAAAAGGACCAAAGAGGAAAATAACTATGATTCATTCATTCTTTCAATTTAGAAACATTCTCTACAAAAAAAAAATACTTTAGTTATTTGTTTTCTGTATTTCAAAAGTTTTATATTATTGATTATAGAAATATTCGCTGTTGATAAAAGATACAGCAAATCTAAAAAGTTATAAATTTCATTCGAAATTCTATTAGATTAATAATTTAATCCATAATTAAAAACTTTACATACTTCAGATATGATTTTATAAGATGTATAAGATATTTTTTTCTATAATGTTGTAATAAAAATGAAGAAACGCTTGGAATTGGATGCGAATTGGCGAAAATTGAGCAATTACAGTTACGAAGCCGACAGTAAATCACTCTAAACGTGTTTATATAATTGCATCGGTCAATTACAATAATCAAAACTCATTTACGTCTAAGGCACGTCCGCTCTTTTATAGATATCCCACTTTCCGATTATCATAATTAAATCGACAATTCCATTAAAAACTAAACTGTTTCATTAGAAAAAACAAATACATATTCATTTACATCACAAGCAATAATTTATTAAATAGAAAACAGTATTTCTCAAACAGTAAAATAAACTAAATTGTTTTTGTACTCTTTATTTTTTTTGTCAAATATTGATTTAGTTTAGTAGTTAGATTTACTCGTATTTTTTCTATCGAAAAATCCATATGATTTTTAGGAAGTCCCGACCGCCTGTCAAAATTTCATAATAATCTGACGTTTAGTTCACAAGTTATAGTGGTTTTAGAGACGCTACTTTTGTAATTTTCAAAATAATGGAAAAATGTGAATTTCGTGTACTTTTTGATGGGAAAAATACCGTTGAAGCCAAGAATTTGATTTATAAGTGTTATGGGGACACTTCTCTGTCGAGACAAATGGTAGAGATGTGGTTTCCAAATTTGGCATTTGTTGCAGAAAACATAAAAAAAAGTACAGAAAATGGTTTTGACCGATTGTAACAACATCAAGTTGACACCCTGAAGATATCAGATGTATTCAGCATTTTGCATGAGCATTTGATCATGAGAAAGCTTTGTTCGAAATGGATACCGCTCAAATGGATACAAGCTCAAAGTGGACCAAGAACAACGAGTTGATGATGAAGTGCGGTATTTAACAATGGATGAAACCTGGATCCACCACTACACTCAAGAGTCAAATGGTCGTCAGCTGAATGGACAGCAAAGGGTGATAGCCGTATTTTGAGACCAAAGCATGAATGTGTCCCTCTTGAAGGAGAGTATGTCCATGAATAAATTCGAATATTGCTCAAAAGTTGTTGTTTTATTGGTCATCCTACGAACGTATTCAGTGAGGTGTTATAAGGAATAGATACAATTATCAATATTTATTTCTACAATTTTTATTGTCATTATATTTCAAAAGTTTATAAAATATTCTCTTTTGTAATGTTAATTAATTTTAAATAAAAAAAAATCAAATTTGTCCATACTCTTATTTAATGGTAATATTGTATTTTTCACTTGATTTAAAAAATTTCAATTGTAAATGAAATTCATTTTATCTATTAAAACTTATTGAAGATAAGTTGGACAAATAATAAAATAATGTATCAATATTTTCTTTATTTTTGTAATTTATATAACAATATAGCATTTTTCATTATCTTTAAAATATAAAAGCACAATAATTTCTGTACTTGATTTAACTTAAAAATAATATATAAAAAACAGTAATAAATAGTAATAGAATATAATTTCTGTAATTGTTCACTATTATGTACGTTATATATGAAAGAATCGTGATTTAACTACTTCATGAAATTTCACTGTAATAAACGGTCTATCTTAATCACATCAACAACGAGCTGCGAATGGATAAACACGAAAAGCGTAAATCAGCGGAACGAAATAATAGCCCGAAACTCCAATCATTATATAATAATAGTTGATTAATGTTACGCGATTAAAATACAATGTATTAAATGGGCATAAATAATAATCGATACCATCTGTGGGCAAAATAAAAAGAGGGCGAAATTAATTCGCACATTGTTATTTTCGCCGTTTTTCCATCGGCTATTGTTGAGGCACGACTCTTTAATGCCACAGACATTTAGCAATTCCGCAATCCACATATGCGCATACATAAAATTACCAGGAATGTCTTCGGGGAGTTCAAATGTTAACGGAATTATTTAAGATTAAGATTCGAGGTCAAAGGTAAACGATATTTAATTGCGAAATGAGCAACTATTGGAAATTCTAGAAAGTATATGCAATTAACGTATGTTAATTTTAATTGAAGCTTAAAAATTATGAATGAAATGTTGTATATTTGTTAAAAATAAATAAGTTTAAAAAAAAAGTTTGATGTAATTTTCATTGTATAAATACAAAATATCAGAGTTTTAACATGATATTAATTAATAAGTTAATAATAATTATTAGTTCATAAATTTATATTAAAATTCGAATAAATATTGCACTTGTGGAAAAAAATAAATTAAATTATTTGAATGAATGAATAATTAATAGTTTTACATTTAAAGGTATCAACAATTCTTATTTAATTAATCAATTATTTTACCTTTAAAGAATACAAAATCAGAAATTGACTAAAGACTAAAAATAACAAATTTACACAAATTTTTAATATTAATATAATGAAATACACATTAAAAATGTGTTTGTACATTTTGTTTTGTAAATTTTATCTTGATTTATATAGAATTTTATAGGAATTGTATAATTAGATAATTAGTACAAATTATTACTTAAATTTCTACAATATATTCATGCAAAATATATAAATAAATATGTAATGAAAAATTCTAATTATGTAACTTAAAATAATATACCTGGAAGCAACATGTTTTACTTCACTGCACAAATAATTTTAATGGTTTTTCAAGCAATAATTGAGGTAAAGAGCTGATTTTACAAAACAGATTTAATTTTGATGAAGTAGATATTACAAATGTCTATGATTTGTTTGAATTCCAATGTAAAGCAGTAAAAAGTAAAAAATAAGTCCAACGTAACAGGGTTTCAGAAACTTTGTCTGCAACGAAACACTTTGTAAATCCTGAAATTTTCAAGGAAAACTTTGTTTATCTAAAGTTGACAAAAAGAAAGAAGTGTTTTCACATTTAATTGATTTTCTCAAAAACTATAATAGATATAATAGATCTTTTATAAATCGCTGTAGTTTCATCCACATTGCTGTAATTAGTAAAATGAATTCAGAAGATGCGTATGAAAGCTTGTTCTTTTACAATTTGCTGTAGTTTCATCGAAAACTGTAATAGATTAAATGGATCCAGAAGATGCGAATGAAAGCTTGATCTTTGTGGAATGTAGCGAGTGTTCATAGATTGCTGTGGTTTCATAAATTTGGTTGTAATTCCCGTCTAAATTTGAAAAAATAACACTTGAAAAAAAGTGTTTATTGATTTTCTCGAAAACTATAATAGATAAAATGGATCCAGAAGATGCATATGAAAGCTGTATCTTTGAAGAATGTAGCGAGTGTTACTGTGGTTTCATCAATTTGGTTGTAACTGTCTAAATTTGAAAAATGAAAAATAGACGCTTGAAAAGGAAGTGTTTTCACATTTCATTGTTTTTCTCCAAAACTATAATAGATAAAATGGATCCAGAAGATGCATAAAAGCTGGATCTTTGGTGAATGCAGGTAGTATTTATAAATTCCTGTGATTTCATCCAATTGGCTGTAATTCGTGTCCAAAATTGAAAAAAAGAAAAAAATTAACGTTTGAAAAAGAAGTGTTTTCACATTTTATTGATTTTCTCAAAAATTATAATAGATAAAATGAATCAAGAAGTTGCATATAACAGCTGGATATTTGGTGAATGTAGTGCTTATAAACACGAGGTCTGTCATAGTGCAGCTTCAATCAGTCCGGATTTACTATAATACTATATTAATTTTAAGTTAGCAAAATAAATTTTTAAGAAATTGTACACAAAAACGCTTATCCAAGTAAGTCTCTTTTTGTGCAGTTATCTTTTATGCGAATTTAAAATTCTCGATTAGTCCGGTTTCAAATAGTGCTGTATATTGGATTAACAGATTACTCGCATTGTGCGAGGTATTGCTGCAAATTCCATAACTTAGATGCATATTTATAAAAAGTTTAAATAAAATCGTGAAAATTTAGCAATAACTTCTGTACAACAAGATGAAGTTTCAAATTTTAAATATTTACAGAAAATTAAGTCAAGATAAGTGAATTCATCCATAACAAGCAGCAAATAACCCAGGGCGAAACGTGGGTGAAACAGTTTACACGCAGCGCAAACAAATCGAACCCGTTTTAAATAATATATTTATATGAGCGATCTACTATAAAAATAAACAAAAGTCCAATTGCGTGCACACTCCAACGCAGACAATTTGCAATCGCTCAACATTCATCAGTTATTATCTCCTT